CTCTCTCTCTCTCTCTCTCTCTCTCTCCCTCTTCCTCTTCCTCTCCCCCTTCTTCTTTCTCTTCGTCACCCATCTACGATTCTTTCCTTCCTTCTTTCAAGACATGCAAGCGGGAAAACAAATCAATGAAGAATGATAAGTCAAGGAAGAGTGATAAGAATAATTTATTCAATCAGTAAAGAGTGAATGACAAGGATAACTCATTTAGTTAATAAAGAGCGATAAGGCAACTCATTCAGTCTATGAAGACTGTAGAGATAACTGAGTGATAAGGATGATTGATAAAGATGACTCATTCAGTCAATAGTGACAAGCAGTCATTCAGTCAGTAAAGAGTGATAAGGATGAGTGACAAGGATAAGTCATTCCGTCAGTGAAAGGTGATAAGGATAACTCATTCAATGAATGAAGAGTATTCAAGATAACTCATCTAGTGACCACTGTTCCATAAGGACAATGATAAGAATAAAATGAATCATCAACAAAAATTGATTGGATTTGTTACATGAAGAGATAAAATGATATTAATGAGTACCACCGAAATGATCATAACATGTAAGAGAAACATCCGAACAAGTAAAATAATCCTTTCTGACATTTATATTAATGTAATAAAATAAATTTTACAAATTAGATCTTGAACTATTATTACTGAATCGATTATATCATCGTATGAGTCTTAAATGTGATTCGTTCAATTGATTTGATTTAGATTTATGAAGGAGAAATACTTTAGCGAGAATGTCGTTATTATTTTTATACCTTCATTTCATGGCCATCTTTCATGTGCTATTTCAAATTTCTCGTTTTTTTTTTTGTCAGTAATCTCTCAGTAATATTTAATTAGTGGAAAAAAAAGGATATCATAGCTGAAAAGAATATAAACCTTAAAGCATTCTCAATATTCAATCCTAAAATTTTGCATACTAAAATTTTTATCATATTTGTGAATAATGCATTTGCATTTGAAGAAAAAAAAAGAAGTTTTAACAGATGTACTGCACCATTAATGTACGACATCTCATACCTAGCAGCTTTTCAAACGAATATGCAAATTAGCATATTCTGAAAGAATGACTTGCAATTGTTGTTCATTGCATGCATGCTAATTGCGTTAGGAAAGTTTGTCTGCTTTCATCTTTGCTAGACAGAATAAGCCAAATTGGTATATATTCGGTGGAAATGATATTTGACATGCTCAAATATCATTTCATAAAATCATGAATCATTATGCTTATTCTCTTTCCATGAAATTAGGAATATTCATATTATGAAGTAGTTCTATTTCTGTTTTCTATATTTTTCTAGTTAAGATTTATGGAAAGATTTAAAAATTTTCGGTTTTGTAATTTTCACTTCAGTCTTCTTTTTCTCGTTTTTGAATTGGATTTGTTGCTAAATGTTTATTAAAAAGTTCGATTTTTCTTTTTCTTTTAAAGTTGTGTTTTGCTTTAGGACTTGGTAATCTTAGTGTGACAGCATAAATCAATGTGAAATTTTGAATAGATTGATTTGTCTTGAAACTCAACGAGAATAATTCAATTGTAAACAGATGAAATTTTGTTTTATCATTCATGATATATTAGTAAATCAAATCATTTTAATAACCGCGTGGGAATTAAGGTTGTGACTCACTCTATAGTGAAACAGTGAGATACAGTTCTTCGACATTTTCGAAGTCTACTTCAAAGTTACGATCGAATAGTAGATTTTATAATATTGTTTTACATCAATGGCATATTAGTGCGTGCTGATAGTTTTTTATCATTTTTTTTTTACCTTCTCTGTTCTTATCAGCTATTCAACTTTTTTATATTGTCTCACTTTACTGTTACGAAAAAGGTTGCAAGCAGTGAACTGTCGAAATCAAACAGTAAAAGAGATGTTTTGCTCTAGCTATTAGGGTAAATAGAGATCACGAAGTTGAGTGCACTCGAAACTACAATCAAATTATAAAATTTTAATAAACATAAATTGAAAGGTAAACTTGCAAATATTCGATGGCATTATTTTTGATTGATTCTAATCCCTTCCTATTCAGCAAAATACTTTATAATTAAGATAGCAATTTTCGAACGCATCCGTAAGCGAAGCAATTTTAGGATAGCGCAAATTAGACAGAGGATGATCTGAGAGTGATTTTGAGAATCTACAAAAGTGCAGTTAACATTCCAGCATCAGACTTTCTACTCCTCCCGCCATTTAATTCATAACTGACCTTTGACCCTCTCTCCCTCTCTCTCTCTCTCTTCTGTCCTTCTCTGATGACGCTGAATTGCCTTTTTCTTTACTTGTCGCGAGCCTTTGTCTGTAACTACTCTTATCTGGCACTTTACCAAGTGACTTCGCAATGTTGCTGGCATTAAGCCAAATTCAAAGATTTTGGGATAAAATTTTTGAAAATAATTAAGAAGAGTATATATAAGGTATAGGTATGGAAGAGATTGTCCACATTCTAGCATTTCATTCATCCCACTCTCTGTCCTTCTCAATACCATCCTACCCCTCCCCCCGTCCCGCATCTATTCCATACCAAAATGATAGTGTTCAATTGTGATCGTTGTAGGAGCCAGTGGGAGGGAAGTGTTGTTTGGTGGGAGATAGTGAGTGTGTATAGGCATTGTGTGCATATAGACATAAAGGGGTGGGTCTGTGCAAGTGTATGTGTATGTGTATGTGTGTGTGTGTGTGTGTGTGTGTGGGTGGGTATGTATTTATCTGTCTGCTGAAAGGGCGACATCGAGGTGTGCAGTGTGTTGTGACATACCTGCTGGGGTCGCATCCCTCTCTTTTGCTCGCTTTTTATTTTGAAAAAATTCAAAAAAAAAAATCATAAAATTTATTCAAAAAATTCTGTCTATCAATTAAGAAAATCCACCCTCCCTAAAAAAAAAAAAGTACAAAACTTGGAAAAAAGTCGTTAGAAAAAAAAAAAAGGTGAACGAAGAATTTCGAGATTGCTACATTGTTCGGTTGATCGGTTGATATCTCTTTCTACGCAAGGTTTGTTCATATCTCTTTTGAGCTTTTACTTTTACACTCATTTAACAACAGTCATTTTATCACTTCCAAAGATTGCCATCACATAAAATCAATTTAGTTGGCTTATTTTATCGATAATTTGAGTTCTCTCAGTTTGCTATCTATATCAGTCTAATAATAGTTATTTGTTTGAATTATCGTCTTGACTAAATTTTGTTGTGCCTTTGTTGCTTTTCTTGAATAAGAAGTATCATGTACTCCGAATTCTTTCTCGATAACGATGCTTCATGGCTTGCGTAGAAGAATGGCGGTATAAATCAAGCAAGAAAAACTTTTTTTAACCTTCTTGATTAAATTTTAAGTGAAAAATCTTATCTTTGGACTTGTAGTTGTTGTTTGCTTTTCGTGTTTAACGCTTCAAATTTCACTCATTATCTGATGTCAGCCGTAATATTTTTCATTTCTTTACATTACCTTTTTTGTATTAATTTTTGCAGGATTTTATCTCTCATTTTTTCATTTTTTTTCTTACATTTTTTTACTCCTTTTTTTGAATCTCTCATTTTTTTCTCTCATTTTATCTCATTTTTTTTCTTATATTTTTTTTACTCCTTTTTTTGAATAGTTGTAGTCCTGTATGGTTGCATGCTCGTATATGGTTGCAAAATTTAAATCACTGATCTCCAGCAGCCAACTAATTTCATAAACGTGGAGTGGCTCGTGTACGTGCAATTTATAGCTAGCATAATCCTTCAGTTCTCATATAAGAGATGCATCTAAATTTGCATGCTGCAAACTGTTTTTCTGTCAATGCATATAAATTTGATATGCAAATTTTGATACTGCTCTTTCACAGTCAGTGCATAAACTTGACATCTCTCCATTTCTGACATTTCAGTTTGTTAGAGTGGAGACGTAAGGTTGTTTCTTTGTTTTCTTTTTGGTTTTCTCATTTAACTGGTCGATGGTGAGTGAGTTCATTGGAGTGAATGTTGAGAAGGCTTTATCTCCAGTATACAACTATCGTGTGATCCGTGAAATAATGTCCTCTTTTATATGTATTATGATCTTTGATGAGGCATTGTCCAGTTCTATGCTTTTCCGTTTGTTGTTTTAGTACATACGGAAGAGTGATGGGGTGTTTTTCTCATAAATTCAGAGTTTTTTCACGGATTTTGAATTGGAGTTAAGAA